CCATCGTCAGATCGACGTGCTTCCCTGGAGGCCGATTTGTCCTTACTACTTACGGACTCTAGCAATCGTACACGTGCACGACAGCATGGTCGATCTCATATTCAATAGCACAGTCACCTTTATTTGTGCTTTCATCCTTGATGCCGAATACAAGGCAACAACTGGTCGTGAAGTTGCACCCAAGCAAGTCCATTTGACGACTGAACAACAAAATCTCTTGGCAACTGCATTGGAAAATACACAAGAGCTTTTCGATGGCAACCTTGGACACTACAAACAAGAGAAGATCCATTTGGAAGTGGAAGACGGTGCCGTTCCTGTCCATTCCAAAGCGTACTCTGTTCCTGTAAAGCATCAAGATGCTTTTCTCAAGGAACTTCGCCATTTGGAAGCCATCAATGTACTCAAACGATGCGGTCCAACAGAATGGGCTTCGCCTACATTCATCATTCCTAAAAAGGATGGTCAAGTACGATGGATTAGCGATCTTCGCGAGTTGAACAAGGTTCTCAAACGTAAAGTATATCCATTGCCATTGATTGATGAAGTTGTCTCTCGTCGTGCTGGTTACAAATTCTTTACAAAACTCGATCTCACAATGATGTATTATTCTTTTGAGCTTGACAATGAAAGTAAAGAATTGTGCGTACCTTCAGTCACGAGGGAGCCAACGCTCTCCGACCTTGTGGGTCTCTCGCCTGTCGCATCAGCTGATCTTGCTTGGATTTCACATGTGGGAACACCGGAACTCGGTGCAACATTTGGAGGACAACGTACAGCTACGCGAACGTAGCCGATTGGTGAACGACGGTGTACACTCTCAGTTTGATATGGGCCCAACCGACCTCCCCAAGGTAGTCCAACGCATGCTCGCTGTGAAACGCCGAACTGTGTTGAACAAGCCGTTGGTCGATAGGGAAAAGTGGCTGACGCTGGTTAGACTGGAACGCACGGCCTATCGCCGCGCTCTGGCGCCCCAACGCCGTATCCTTCACCGCTTCTTCCACCCGGCCCACGCCCCCTAATCCCGTTTCAAGGAATCAACGCCCCGAAATCACCCCGCCTTGTCGCGGGTAGAGTTGGGATCCCCTCGATCCTGACTAGAGCAACTTCTGTCCATCAGATGTCTCCAATGGTTCAAACTAGTTGTTGCCTCGTCGCTTCACGGTACTTGACCTTTACAGCCGCTTATTCCACCGGCAATCGTATGCGCTAGATAGCATTTAATCGATTAATATTTCAGTTATTATTAAAGTAAAGAATTGTGCACGATTGTCACACAATACGGCAAGTATCATATCAACGCATGGCGATGGGATTGAAACCTGCTCCTGATGTTGCTCAATACTACATTGAGAAAACATTGCATGGGTTAAAAGAGCAAGGTGTTGAAGTCTACATCGACGATGTTGGACTCTTTTCGAATTCTTATAAAGAACACATGCAATTGATCAAGGCAGTGGTCGAGCGTCTACAGGAAGCTGGCTTCAAAATCAATCCTTTGAAGTGTGAATGGTGTGTTCAATAAACGGATTTCTTGGGCCATTGGTTGACCCCTGAAGGTGTCAAGCCATGGAAGAAAAAGGTAGACGCCATCCTCAAAATGGATGCGCCTCGCAACATTACTGAACTTTGAGCTTTCTTGGGCGCTGTGACATACTATCGTCACATGTGGCCGCGACGTTCTCACCTTTTGCAACCTTTAACAGCTCTAACTGGCACCAGATCTTTTGTCTGGACCAACGAATGTAATACTGCATTCAAGACTATGCAGTCTTTGATGGCTAGCGATATTTTAATGCGCTATCCAGATCACAACAAGCCCTTTGAACTCTACACTGATGCTTCTGACTATCAGATGGGCGCAGTGATCATGCAAGACAAGAAGCTGGTTGCGTATTGGAGTCGTAAACTCAATGATGCAAAAAAAAACTATTCTGTAATGGAAAAGGAAATGTTGGCTATTGTGCATTGCTTGAAAGAGTTTTGATCTATGCTTTACGGTACGCAATTGAGTATCTTTACTGATCACAAAAATCTCACTTTCCGCACGTTGAATACACGACGAGTTTTACGCTGGCGAATGCATGTAAATATTATCGTCACTGCGTTACGATGTTGTTGCCTTACGAAGTAGTAGCTATGGTAGACGGTAGACGGTAGACAGTATTGTAATCAAACGTATTCTTAAAAAGAGTGCGTTCATCGTTCATCGACAGCTTTCGTAAGCAGCCGATTTATCCTTACTACTCACAGACCGCTTACAATCGTACACGTTTGTATCAGTACGGCGCAGCTCGCATCCTATAGCACAGTCACCTTTATTTGAATGTACATGGAAGAATTTTCGCCTACGTTTAACTATTGACCAGGTAAAGACAACGTTTTGGCCAACTGTTTCTCGCGTTTACCGAGAATGGAGAAACCGTCTGAGGGGAAGAGTTCGCTTTCTGAAGGTAAATTGATCGCATTTGACAAACTCAATGTCAAAATGGATCCGGAAGATGAAATGTACTTGTTTGAAGTAGACGTTCTTCTTCCTCCTCCATCTGAAGCTGAATTCAATTGTACATTCAAATGTTCTTTCTCCTGTTGCCGAGATGGTGACCATGGACATGGTGCAATTGAAAATGATGAGATGCTTGAATCGTTTTTGAATCATCCTCCATTGGAAGTTATGCCAAATCCAATCACCATGGCAAACATCCAACAACATCAGCTCCAAGATGTTGCACTCATTCAAAAATCACAAAATGCAGCAACTTGGGCTCAGTACCCCATCATGCAAATTGACAATCGAAATGTGATCTGTTATCGTGCAGATTTGAATAAACCTAGCGAAATGGAGAATTCACTTGCCTGAAACTTTGGTTGCTCCTGTGATTGTGTGGTACCATTTGGTGCTTGGACATCGAGGCACCACCTCTTTTTACAATACAATTGTCAGAAGATTCTATGCTCCTGCGTTGAAAAGCAAAGTCGAATCTCTCAATTGTGAAGTTTGTCAAGTGAACAAAAATGTGAACATCCACTACGGACATGTGCCCGAAAGACACGCAGATTTGGTCCCGTGGTTTTCAGTGGCTTTGGATTTGATTGGGCCTTGGAAGATCAAGGTCAACGGTATAGAAATTGAATTCAATGCGCTCACGTGTATTGATCCCGTCACAAATCTCACTGAACTTGCACATATCGAGAACAAACCATCAGCACACGTTACGAATGTGTTTGAAAATCTCTGGCTTTCTCGATACCTGAAACCGTTCAAGTGTATTCATGATCAAGGAGGAGGATTCATTGGTCATGATTTTCAGTTGAAACTACAAAAGTGGGGAATTCACGATGCATCCGCAACAAGCAAGAATCCAACTGCTAATGCTATCTGTGAACGAATGCATCAGACTGTTGGCAACATCCTACAAACAAGATTCAACAACAACAACATGGCTCCCAATGTTCAGACAGCTACTCGAGCAGTTGACGATGCCCTTGCTGCCTGCAATCATGCCAGGAGATGTTATGTTTCTCAATCTTTGAAGAACAACACCCCAGGTGAGGTCGTGTTTGCTCGTGATATGTTGCTCAACATTCCTATGATTGTCGATCTTTTGAGTATACAGGAAAAGCAACAATTGCTTATCAAGGAAATCTAAGAAGACAAAATGCAAAATGAAAGGAGTTTGATTACGCTGTTGGTGGTGAAGTTTTGATCAAGAACTTCAATCCAAGTAAATTGGATCCTAAGATGGAAGGTCCATATCGAATCACTCATGTGTTTACTAACGGATCTGTTGAAATTCACAGAAATCATCAAGCTGAATATACGGCGTCTTGTGCCGTTTCGTCGAGTCTAACATACGATAAACTTGTATCGCGTGTTGCGTCAAGAACCACCTCTTGTATGAAACGTTGATGTAAGGACGCCTTTGTGACTGAATTTCAATACGATATCATATGATCCAGCAAGCTTTGATCATAGAGGGGAAGAGTGAAACGGCCCATAGAACAGGCCCAAGGTATTGGGACTCTAGAAGCTCCTTCGGTTGGGGACTATATTAGACCTTAGGTCTTACGTAAGCACTTTCTGTGCCTTTCCATAGTCATCTATAATTTTCAATAAGACTCTTCTGTGAAGGTTGGGTTAACATTCTTAAAAAATGATAGAATGAAAAATGATAGAAGAAAATTACACATTTAGAACAAATATTTGACATATATGAGTAAAAACCGCTGTCTGAGTAAAATGAGCACTTTGAGGGAATTGAGGAGAAGCGACCAGAAAGCAGATTTTACTCATATGTAAAATATTTGTTAAATGAACTCGAATTTTGGGGATGATATTCACAATCACATGATTGTCAATTTGGCAAAACAGGCTCGCTAAAAATCTCACAATAAATATAAAATGAATCATTGACAAAAAAACAAAATGAAGTTTTCTTCTCTCTCCAACACCTTCCTTTTGTCACCAGAGGCGGCAAGAGAAACTGCACTGGGGCTTCTCGCAGGTGTTCATCCAGAGGGACAGCCAGCCAAATGGCAAGAAGAGATGTTCACAGCTCCCTATGGAAGTTCTTTGTTTGTCATCGCACCCGTTCCGGTATTGCTTCACGGAAGTGATCACATCTCCAGTCCAAGACTTGATTGGCAATAAAACATCGCCGATAATGTGGGGGAGATATTAAATTTGTTGGTGGACATCTTTGTGGGAATTTCAAAAAGGAGTAAAACGAGGAGAAGCCACCAACTTGGTCACTTCTCCTCATTTCCCTCAAAGTCCTCAATTTACTCAAAGTCCTCATTTTACTCAATTGAGTAAATTGAGCACTTTGAGGGAATTGAGGAGAAGCGACCAGAAAGCGGTTTTTACTCATATATGTCAAATATTTGTTAAATGAATAATCTTCTTCTATCATTTTTGAAAAATGTCTCGTTTTACATAATGAAGGACATAATGGAGAAATGACCATTTCTCGAGAAAGAATTCGGAAGTCCTCACTCTGCCGGGCACTACGGTTTCGGAGAAACATTGAGCTGGAGGGCTGGCGCGCTACGTCTTCATCTCAATGTTTCTCCGACAACAACTTCGACTATATAAAGGGACTTCATCAGCACAACAACTTGTCACAAATCTTTGATCAAACCCAGGAAAATTCAAACTTGTTTTAAATTTCTTCAGGCTTTAGTTGATACCTTAGCTTCAACAAACAGCATGACAATGATCTATTTTTACCAGCAAATGCAATTCAATAGATTCTATCGTTGTAAACAACACAATGTCATGAGCTATTGCTCCAAATATCTGCTCGTTGCTCCAATGCCACCTAAAATCGGTAGTAAAAAAAGAAATTCTTCAAAACGAGCTCCGTGAATTTGCTGAAACCCCAAGAGGGAAAGAAGAAGTCAATAACCTTCTTGCATAAGATCAAGACCACGAGTTTTGCTGTTGTGCAAGAGCACTTCTGTCCTTGACAGTCGTCGACCAAGAATCTAACCACTTTCAACATCATGCTATTCAATTGAAGAATGAGATACATCGCAAGGAATTCGATGACTTGATTTTGAATCAAAAGAGCTACAAAGATTTCCTAAAAGGTTTCTTTGAAAAAATGAATGTGAAACATTTTGCATGAAATGGTTTGGAAAGAGGAAGTGCCAGCAGTTTTCAAAAGATGAACTTTTGGTCGTTTCAACAATTCATCTTTGCTTGGCAGCACGAGATAACGTATTATTGGGTGATGTTTATGAGCTTTGGAGAAGGAGTGACAATGCGCTACGAACCCAGAAAAAGAAGATCTTGAAGCGTTTCAAAGACTTTGTAGAGAGAAGTACTACAACGCTGTCAAACGTTGTTCCAATGGCTGACGATGTCCCTACTTGCAGTTCTGGCCCTTTCCCCCTCTCCGCAGGTGCATTTGCAGCCTTCCAATCCAGAGCTTCGTCTTCCGCAGGTATTGAATTATAATATGCCAGACAAACAAGACGTCGATCAAGAATCTCAGACAAGTGGTGCACCTTTATGCATCAGGAAACGTTTTGTATTGCAGCTGTCCAAGCGTTACTACATACAGAAAGACGAAGTGAGGGAAATGAATAAGTCGGAGACCGATTGGAGCCATTGGATCTCCATACCAGCGACGCTGGTTTCAACAAAAGCGACGGCGACAGCAGCAGCAAAGCACGGCAGTTCTTCTCCTCATCTAAGACAATGAAGAAAGTACGGCAATTCTTCTCCCCATCTAAGGAAAACAGTCCAAACTCGGGGCAAAGTGGCCCAGCCGTCAAAAGAGGAAATTTCAATCAGATCCCTACTGCGAAGGATGCAGTTTCGGGCATTTTCAGAGATGTCGGAGCCTAGTACTTTACCTTTGGTTTGCCACCACCAGACGAGTTGGTTGTTGGCATACTAATGATATGGTGCCATTGATATTTCTTACTGTATCTAATTTGTTTCTGAGAAAACGTTTTGATAAATCCCTACTAACCCAAACAAGGAATGGTGCATTGTAGTGTTTGACAAGATATTATTATCGCGGTATTATAATAGTTTTGAAAGATGTTTTGCAGAAGTCGGCTGGCGTCCGCACAGTTTTTATTTTATTGAAGGTGTACCAGGTACTTTTCACCATTTCTCCATACATTTGTTTTTCAACACTTAAAAAGTTAGACGTACGGAGGCCAGACAGACATCCAACCCAACAAGTTCGACTCATACGAACGAAAGGCAAGCCATATCGCGCCGGCATGTCACTTTGTGTCAATGTCAGATTTCCCTAGCGCGAAACCGTAGTGTCCAGCCTTTTTTTGCTCCAACCCGCAAACACACAAAAATCAAATTCTTGGGTTATACCTGGAGATTGGGCCATCATGTCGTTCCAAGACATAGGCAGGCGAAATGCGGGGCAATTCGTAGCCCCAAAGACTGGCTTCAACAAGGGGCAGCATCAAGCGGGGAAGCAACCTCTCGTTTCTGGAAACAGGAGTGTTATCCCTGGTTCTGTGGCGCAAATCTCGGAGTCTTTGTCGCAGTTTCAGGTGTGTCCGATTTCCATCGATTTCCAGAGATTTAACCCTAACCCCAACCCGTTCTTATTCTTTTCTGTACTGCCATATAGCGCAATGTTGGAATTTTGGAGAAAATTGCTCAGCAATTCTTGTTCACGAGCACCAATCGATCTTCTCGCGCTGAATTGGAACAACAGTAAGTCGATCCCAGCGTTTTAATTATTTATACTTTGAGACGCTCAAAACATGGCAATGCTCAGGTATGACGCTCAGATGGATGTATTGAAACAGCTCGAGCGTCGGCTGAAAGAACAGATTTTGAATCTTAGGAGGGCTGCAACCGCTGGCGACAAACAAGCGCTGGTGAAGTTGGAAAGAGACTTTGAAAGAGTTCAAATCACAGCAGAATCATGCAAGTCAAAAGTATCGAGACAGCAAATGCAGTTTGAACAGAAGAAGGGAAGTGGTCTACGTGTATTTGAAAACAACAGTGCTGCCGTTACACTTCAGGAAAACCACGACCGTTATCAAATGCAGGTGCAAGAAGATGTACGAACTTGAGCATGTTCGATCCCTTCATTTTGCCATGAGGAGACTGGTACTCACATTCTTTATTGTCTTTGACGCGTAGTGTTTGCGCGAAGAAATTATGAGAGAAAGGGAAGAAGAGATCAAGAATATCAACGAAGGCATGCACACTGTTAATGAGATATATAAGGACTTGTCACATATTGTTGGTGACCAACAGGAACAAATAGATCAAATAGAAGGCCAGATGGAAGACGCGCGCACAAATGCTGAAAGCGGATTGACTCAAGTTCAAAAAGCAAACGAGAAGTACAACAATTCAAACTGTTCAATCTCCTGATAGTCCTAAGATATAGTTTCCAGTGACCGGCTCCTGCATCACCTAGTTCCGGTGCTGCAAATAGCCATGAAGGGCATAAAAATAGTCCTTGGTTGACTTGTTATTGAAATCCATTGATTTCAGTATCCAGCATACGATTGACGTCCAGAAAACACTTTCATCTGTACAAGTCAAGAAAAGTAGACCCAAAAGTAGGTTCAGATCATGGTAATCTATTAGTAAGATTTCATGTTGGACCACTGGTAGGTTCAGGAGTAGTAGGACCGGAAGTACGTTCAATATTTGTTGGTTAGCACTAGTACAAAGGGAGGATTAGAAAAATGGATGTACCGATGTTACAGGAAAATACCAAGGGCTTTACTAGTTAAATCACCAGTTACATCACCATTTACATCACCAGTTACATTACCAGGAGTTACACCACCAGTTACAAGTAACCAGCTACAGTTCCTGTCACATCACCAGTACCAAGGATCATCACAAGTGGAGGATAGAGTCTTGCCAGAAGCGTTAACACACCTTTGCATCTTGCTGGTACTACAGGGAATCAGATGATGCAAAATCCTGCAGGAATGTAATTGATGCAGATTCCAACTCTGACAGAAATAAATGAACCCTAACCTTAACCCAAGGATGGTATAACATAAAAGCGCAGATCAACCAAAATTGCACCAGGGGTGTCTCTTGTTGTAAACAAGGACTAGTTAGGTCATCGTGAGAGAAACACAGGTCGTCTTGCAGTATTTTTTTAAAAAATTACCCAAAAAGCCAGTATCAAAAAAAGAAAAAGAGGTCTGTTGAGCAACTTGTAAGGCAATCGCTCTCAGTCCCCAGATATATTCCGCATTCTTGTTGTCCTTTTCGAAGGCATCATCCTTGAAAATAAAAATAAAAAATTTCAAAAGTCATTGCCAATGGTTATGGTATTCGGTGAAAATCATGTTAACTCTGACTTCAAGTGAGAGCTTAGCATAGAAGTCCTGGAAAGGATAATAGTTCTCCTGTATTAGGTATACTTTGAGTGAAATTGTTCCTATTTGATCAATGTTTGGCTTGAATTGATGATTCAATCACAAAAGTGAGGTGAACAAATATCCTTTTGGGGAATCCCTTGTTTACAGAACTCAATTTGACTTCTACAAGGATTCTCTGTCAACCACAGTACTTTGGGACATTTAAAAATATTCCCTACTGCATTGTACACAACATTGATATTCCACTTGTATGGGGTCATTCATGTTTGGCAGTCTCACGTCAAATGCTGACATCACTATTCAAATGAAATTGTGCATGTCAAAACTTCCTACTTGAACAGATTTTTTAAAAAAGGAACGTAAAAACTCATATTTTGTTTTATCCCAACATATTCCAAAAAAAACAAAAAATTAAAAACAACAGGCAAATCCTGGTTGATTGTCTTCGTCGATGAATGAAGACAATTGATGGGCAATCTCTGATGGGGAAATTGTGGCAGTTAGCTGTAGGCATAACTGCGACTGTTAATCTGACAGAAATAAATGAATATAGACTATAAGCCTATAGGTTGACTTGTTTCTACGAGATGATAAAGATCAATTCAGGTAAAAAGCATGCAGTGAGAAAAGCGATGATGATCCATCCATCTGAAAGGGGGAAACTGTTAGAAGTAAGCGATCCACTGCCACCTCAATCCCAATGAACAATACGATCAAAGCAGGATTTGGCATCATTAGAGATCCACCCAGCCGCGCGTTGTTGGAGAATCAACAAGTCCCAGACCAGACGTTTGGACAGGGCCAGATCAATGGCCTGGTGACG